CCCACAAATTCTTCCCAATTTTTCTTACCAAACCAGAAATTTCAAAACATAATTTAAACTATGTTTCCAAAAAGCTGTTTCAAAACCCAGTGAAACATTTTTTTCCTCTGCATGAGATATCTGGACATGGACATTTTCAGAGTCCTGACTAAGACCGTGCTATAATTCACACTATTACGTCCACTTGAGTAACATATTCTGTTTTTCTTTATGCTTAAAACAGAACAAAACAATTGGCTTTGGAACTAAAACAGGGTTTCTCAACCTTGAACCTGTTGACATTTCAGGCCAGATGATTCTTTGTCGCGGGGTCATCCTGTGGATTGTAGGGTGTTAAGCAGCATCCATGGCTTTGCCCACTAGATGCCAGTAGCCCCTCTACCCATCCACCTGTAACAGCCAAGGACTTTTCTAGATAGCTATGGGCCAAACTGTATCTCCCACTCCCCACCCCCCAGAATTGTATGTTGAAGTCCTAACCCTCGATAACTGAGAAAGGGATTGCATTTGGAGACAAGGTCTTTAAAAAGATAATTAAGTCAAAATTAGTTAATCACAGCAAGCCCTATTTTGATACAGCTGGTATTCTTATAAGAAGAGGAAACCTGCTCACAGACAGGGGCAGAGAGAAGACACAGGAAGAAGACAACCCTCTGCAAAAACAGAGGGGAGGCTTCAGAACAAACCAACTGTGCTGACACCTCCATCTTGGGAGGCTCCCCTCCAGAGCTTGATAAATGGCCGCTGGGTAAGCCACCCAGTCTGCGGCGCTTCGTTACAGCAGCCTGAGCAAACTAATGCACAGACATTGCCAAAAACATGTCCCCTGAGGTCCCACGCCTGGGTGGGAATCGCTGAACTAATACTCACAAATTACACACAGGAACCTGTTAATTTTACCTTTGGCGATGACAGAAAAAATAAGTTCTTAATGATTTTTTTCTTTAAAAAAGGAAATCAAAAAGGACCTTCACTCTATACTCCTCTTTCACACCGTAAATACCTTTTAGCAGATAATTTCATTTCTTTATTATTGGACAGTGAAAATAAAAAATAAAAGGCAGAGCAGAAAGCTATGTGATATGGTGCTCATCTAATCCAGGGAGTGCCTTTGGAGCTGGGTCATGGGGTCTCTTAAACAATTCTGGGCCTGTGGCTGTGCCTAGTGGCTCCATGATAATTACCCAGAAAAGACCTCCAAGGCAGTATTTCAAAGAAAACCTTCCAAAAGTTTTCATTAAAGGAACTACGTTTATTTTATTTTACTCAGGCAGAAATTCCTATTGTTTTCCCTGCCCTGTGCAATAAGCAAGATGCTGAAATATCTTGCAGTTAACACGGTGTGACTATGGGTCCCTTTCATGCCAATGGGTTGAACTCTTTCCCATCCACATTCCAGCTAATGTCCTGAAGCACATGTAAAGGAACTGAGTTATTATGTAAAAGGGTGACTCCGACCCATCATCCTACCCTATCCCATGGGTTCAAAAGGCCTTTCTTTGCTGGTTGCCCAGCATCTGCAGAATGGAGCCTAGATGCTATCTAGCTGTAAAATGAGCAAAGGGAAATGGGCTGTGGATTTGGAAAAGGGGCCAGGGTCTCAAATGACGGTTCTATTACTATGTTGCTGTTAGGAAACTTTTCCTAACAGCACAAAAAACTTTTCCTTTTTGTGCTTTTTGTGATCTGAACTTCCTAAATTTGTATTGTAATATCTCTATTTCATCAGCCACAATGAGGATTAAACGAGGTAATGTAGGTGCGTGCAGGTAGCTCAGTGTGTGACACTGGAAAGGGCTTCACCGGTTGTTGGCCGGAGTTCCCACGATCCAGTTCCAATTCACTGGATTAGGTTTACCTCTCTCTAAACCTTTCCAAATAGTCTATATTCCAGTCACACCAAACCGCCTTTGATTCTCCCAGTGTGTCCTGAGGTTTTGCCTTTGAGATTGACACAAGGAGTTTATTTCCAATGAACTTTCTGTTCAAGGGAAGGGGTTTGGAGGAGCCCCGTGCTGCGGTTTCCTGCTCCCCGGCTCTGCTAGAGCCGGGCGGACTCGGGAAACTGCACGTCAGGCGCCTGGCACCAGGCCCCGGCCAGAGGAAGCAGTCATCATCTGCTCCTAGTCACATCTGCCCGCCTCGACCCCACTCATCGCTCATTCCTGAGTGTTCTCCCACTTCCTGCTTCCACTCCTGGCCCCGCCACCGACTCGCCACATGGCAGCCAAACGTAGCTTTTCAAAACAGAATTAGATAATTCCCTAGCACTGTCTGAAATCCACCAACGGATTCCTGTTTGCTTCTAGATTAAATCCAAATGCCTTAGCGTGGCCGACAGGCCCTGGCTGATCTGGCTCCCGCCTAGCCCTCCACCCTCGCCCAGACTCACTGGCCCCTGGCTCACCCGTGATACCGGTCACCCTGCAGTTCCTCATACACCCCAAGTGCTCTCCCTCCCCAGACCTTTTCTGTGCCATTTACCTGCGCCTCCAGCGCCCCACTGTACCTCACTCTCCCTTCCAAAGACTGGCTCCTCTTTGTCCTTTTTAAAAAAATTCTTACCTGAGGAAATGTTTATTGATTTTAGAGAGAAAGGAAGGAAGAGAGAGAAACATTGATGAGAGAGCAAAACATCAGTAGGTTGCCTCACGTAGGCACGCAACAGGGGGACCAAACCCACTACCTAGGTATGTGCCCTGACCAGCATCGAACCTGCAATTTTTTGGTGCATGGGACGGTGCTCCCACCAACCGAGCAACCCAGCCAGGGTTCCACCACATAAGTCCTCCTGAACTTCCAACCAGACTAGTTCTTTTCCCACCTTCCCCTGCCCTTCTTTCTGCCTCCTCCTGCCCCCCTCCCCCTCCACGCTCCACAACTGGCCACCACCACTCATTTCACTTAAAACAGTTTGTGGTCACATCTTCATTTACTGTCCCATCTTCCTTTCTTGAATGCCGTGAGGACCGGGGGAGGTGGGGTGCGAGATCACCAGCTTTCAGCGTGATATCCGGCACATGGTTGACCATGGACACATTCTTTATGTTAGGTGACTGTCCGGTTGAATGAATGCTGCATCTGCTGACGTTATTCCCTTCCTTTCTTATTTCTAGGAGAATTATTTGTACTAAGTATATTTCTGTGGGTCTCAGAGGGTAGTATAGAAAGCAGATTAAAGAATACCGTGTTTTCTTTAGGCAATTGTCTAAAATGTACCTTTAAAAATAACTACTACAAATGCTAATCTATTAAATAGATACGAATGGATAGAAAAAGTACAAAGGAATGCAATAAATCTCATTGACTAGTTTTGAGTCAGTTTTCTAGTTGAATATGGGAGATGTGGAAACATGATTGTATTTAAAAATTACATAGATGGGCATGGACTCTATTTCTATTTTGCTATTGAAGAGTATGTCAGCCTTCATAAGTAAGTAAACTCCTCCCTAAATCAACTTTTTTCTCCCATTAAATGGGAGAATCTTTACTGTTCTTAAGTCAGCTGTATGGGGAATGTGGATGCAATATTTATAAAGCATATTCTGAGATCCTTTGGAGTGCCTACCATGTACTGATTATTTTTGCTCTTGTTATTTTTGCAATACTTTTAAGCATTTTAAACTCAAAACAAAGTAGTGAAAACAAATGTAATTATCGAAAAGAGCAAAACGCTACAAGATGGACCTTTAGCTGCATTCAGTTACCCCAGAGTTTGGTTTAAATGTCCTTTTCTTCAAAGCGGAGGTGAGAGACACAAAGCTTGTCCACGCTGCGGCAGCACTTCTCTCTTATGCCCAGGAAGCTCTTCTCCAGCTTATTGTCTTCGTTTCAGTCTGGGGCTGATAGGTCAGCTCCAAAGAGACACCATTCCATTTCAGATAAACTGTTTTTCCATTCAATTTAACCGAGATTCCAGTAGAGGGAGCAGAGTCAACAATTAAAAGAGAGATTTGAAAAACTCGACATTCAATAACGAAAAGAGCAAATGCTGAATTGATTTGAGAAAAATGTAATTTTAGTGCCAATAACATGGCTTATCTATTTGTCTTTCGAATTATTGCTGTCATAAAGGCAGTTGTCTGCATTTCCTTAACATCTGCCAGGAAACACTAATTTATACGATTATGAATGCCTCAAGAGCCAATAAGTCACTGATGAACTTTTAAAAAACAACCAGAGGAGTAATCATTCATTGTTATTGGTTAATGAGTTACACAGCTTAAGGAAATGCAAAAAAGTATGGCATTTAGAGTCTTTGAGACCAAGTCTGGCTACATATAGAATCAGAAATTTAAAAAGTCAGTCAGTGTAAGTGGTATCAAATGTATAATTATTAACTGAGAAATAATGGAAGAGAAAAACAATGGGGAAAAGTCCAAAAGGGAAAGCCCGTGCTGGTATCTTTACAACGAATCTTGTTTAAGGAGCCGAGTCACGTGTGGGAACTCAACAAGCACGTACTGCTGATGAAGTAGAAGGAGTAACAGCGGCAAGGAGGTGTGCTGGCCACGAGGAAGCGAGTGTACAAACCTTACTACAAATCAAACAGTAAGAAATAGAGCCCCAGCCCTCATGGAAACTTACTCCGGCGGTCACATTGCCAGTCCCAGCTGCCCGCAGGTGGGGCTGTCATAGCTTGGGCGGCTGTCTGTGGCAGTCCTACCAACTATGTCCTTGGCAGTTTGTTGTCATGAAAAGAGGCCGTTATTTAAAAAAAAAAAAAATTCTCAGGAAAGCTATTCAAATTATCAGTGATAAGACAAGGATTTATCCATAAATACAATAGTGTGTGCTTTTAAGTGTGCTTTCATGACTAGAAACTTTTTATACTTTTATTTTCCTTTTTAAAATTAAAAGTTTAAGTCAAAGTTATCATATATGTATGTACACATGTATTTACGGTTGTACTTATATACATATGTATGATGTCATATTTTATGGTTATGTACAGTTTCAATGACTACAGGCTTTATAATGAAAAACAAATAGAAGAACAAGTTCTCGCTTCGGCAGCACATAGACTAACAATGGAGTGACATGAAAAGATTCGCGTGGCCCCTGTGTAAGGATGACATGCAAATTCATGAAGCATTCCATATTTAAAAGAACAGAACAAGACAAAACAAATCCCATGCCCCACCTTCCACATCTGAGCCCTACTTCCCAGAGGCCATCATTTGCACCTCTTAGTCCAGGACAGTGATTCTCACCCTTTTCCACCTCACGGCACACAGACACAAATTACTAAAATTCTGTGGCACACCAAAATATGTATTTTTGACCATTTGACTAAAAAAATAGTTTAAACTTTGATTCATTCACACTGGATGGCTACTGTTGGTTGACTGTTGTCATTTTTTTACTTGATGATTAAAAAAAGGGGGTCAGTGCCCCTGACTAAATAGGCAGTGTGTGTCTTAAACATTCTTGCAGCACACTGGCTGAAAACTGCTGGTCCAAAGTCTCTAGGGGGCCACTTTCTTTAGACTATAACTTTCTAGTCTTCTACCAGTGTTAATATTTGTGGCAGGAGTTTGGGTGGTGAGGAGGCAGCGTTCTGGCTTTGTGAGCTGAGAGAGACATTGGATTGCCTATTATTAAGACTTTCAGTGACTCTATTTTGAATAATACTTTGACCTTCAAAAGTACCCCTTTTTAGGGTTTTGCATTGGAGTTGGCTTGCTTCTTGACTTACCCCTTGCCATTTCTTTGCTAAGTCATTTTTTAAAAATGTAATCTTTGTCATAATTTTATCCCTGCTAAGTCATTTCACAAGTTTGTTAGCATATCCTGCCTACTGTAATCGTTTCTCCTGTTTTCTTTGTCTTTGTACTTTTCTGTTACTTAAAATACTTTCTGCCACTTGAGATAAACACATGTTTAATCTGCTAAGTGTTTCTGATATTTTTCTTAAGCTAAAACTACAATACCAGTTATTCAAATATCTACTCATTTTAGGTATAATGCTTTATTTTTCCAATCCATACCAACCTGATTAAAAATAGCTGTGATGTGTTTGTATGGCATTGTTCCTAGTCACAATGAGGAACTTTAATCTCCAATAAACTTTTCCTTCCCGCATTATTCTGGAAGTTTTAGCTTTGGCTGGGATGACATATCTGTATGTTGAGAACTAGTGCTTTTGACCATGGTATGGTATCTGCCATTGACCTCTTCTTGCTGTTGCCTTGACTTGTGGTGATGTGCTAAGATGCTATCAATGATCAGTCAATGGTGCTCCAGATGCTCAACCCAGGCATTTTCCACTGAAACTAAAAAGTGTCCAGTGCTCTACTGGTACCACCATCACCAATGCCACCACCATTAACGATGCCACTGCTCTTAACCCCAGTTTTGCACTTGGACATTTTAGATACTTCTTAGGAGAGTTCTGGGTCTTCCGTGTAAATAAACCCTTCCTCAGTCATGCTTGAATCCCAGAACAGAGACAGCTTGGATGCAAGGAAAGTAATTTACCTGGAGTGACCACACTATGAGTCTGTATGCTTCCAAAGAGTATGTCTTTAAATGCTGCATGTCCAGAAAGATGTCAACACATTTTTCATTAGTTGGGGAGGGTGTCTTGAAGAAGGACAGGAGATTTCAGTAGTGTCAGAAGACATATAGTGAGGTGCGGTAGGTGTTCAGAGGGAATGGTTGGGAGTTCCAACTGGTGCATTTGGGTAACTTTGCTCTCCACCTACTGATGTGGTTGGTGACAGTGTCCTATTATTCCCTCACTAGTGTGTGAGTCCCATCTGACCTGGTGCTCAAAGAAAACAACTTTCCTAAGTAGTGGAACCCTGTGTTTCAGTCATAGACATATTGCTGATTAATCATAGACATATTGCTGATTTTTCTATCCTACTGGCATCTCTAAGCTAACTCTCAATGTCCCAAGGTGGTACTAAAATGACAAAGAAAAAAATGAGACATACAGAATAAAAGTCTTAATTTTCTAAGTAAGATAAAAATGATAAAAAGTTTCTTAGTCCTATAAGATCTAATACAAAACCAATCTTCTCATAAAAATCCCTCCCAGATTTTAGTTGTGTGAGAATCTTTCTCCACCAAACTTACAAAGGATATTTTTACTTACATTAAATAGGAAATCACAGTGTTTCTACTATCACAGTGTTCCAAGAGGCATCTACCACTTAAGGTGAGCCTTAGAAAGATGGGTTGGCTAAGGTAAAGGGAGGGGTGAAAGAGGGAAGAGCATTTGTGGTAGGAGAACAGCATGCATAAAAACATCAGGGCATAAGAAGAGCAGGCTGTTCTCCAGAGACTACACAGAGGTCGGCATAGTTGAATGGGGATTGCTTGTGCTGCAACACGACCCAACACAAGGCTGGAAGAGCATTAAGGGCCAGAACCAGACCAAGCTGGCCTCTTAGGTCATGTTGAGAAGCCCAGACTATCCTGGAGGCTCTGAGAGCCACTGCACGATTTTTAGCAGAGAGAGATATGACATCATCTTTGGATATAGTAACACTCTTGGGTGTTAGTTCTTTTTTTTTTTAATTTAAAGACATAAAAAGGATGCCATGTATTATTTTTGGTGATTGTGTAGTATATTTTAGTTCATTTCCTCTCTTTCTTGGTAGCAAGCATTGATTTTCTTCATTTTGGATGATTTTTTTGTCATTTTTGTGCACATGCATATTAATTTTGAATTAGACACCGATAGGCTTAAATTAGAACAATTCTTCACATGTTCTTTCCTTTGTGGTCAAGCAATCTTCCTAGATGCATTTTTAGGAGGCTTACATGTCTGCTAGCCTCAGACTGGCTGTAAGAATCTTCTTGAACCCTCTTGCGATTCCAATTAGTCATAGATCAAAACAATAATGTGGACAGATTAAAGCAGAAGCCCTCATGCTTTATTTCCTAATATCATCTGTCTTTGCTTTGAAAAGCACACCAACGGAATCTTCTGCATCTGCACACCCCAAAGGCAATTTAATCTCCTTTGGCCAACATTAAAGCTTTAAAGTAACTCTATGCTATGATGTATTCTTCCTCCTTTTCCAAGTTTAACCATTATATAATTCACTTTTTATCAGCCTCATTCTTGTAGATGGGCACTTGCCACATTGTTTATAGTTTTTAACATCATCTAAAATAAACCTTACGAGGTTAAAGTAAATTGATTTTTCCACATATTGTTATGTGAAAACTGAATATAAACAAGGACATAATCTAGAGTCAGTAACACATGTTGCTTTGTCATATTTTTGCTAATCTTGTGTCTCAAAAAATTTTGGAAGTAAACTACTCATTTACATATGTTAAATACAAAAACAATTTCTCCCCACTTACTGGATCTATTTTGGAATAGCTTTCCCATCTAAATTTAATCTTATCTTTAAAATGCCCCAACTTTTTAATGTTAAAATTTCATGCCAAAATTAAAAAAAAAATTTATTCTCTACTTCAGTGTCTTTTAAAAATAACTTAAAATTTTCTTGGTTATTCATGCCTGCCATTATAAAACACCAGTACCTGCATTGGAGCATCTTTTGTTTTTCTGAAGTTTCAATGATTTTTTTAATTGAAATATTTTATTGTTTCTGCCATTACAGTTGTCCAGGTTTCTCCACCCTTGCCCCTCCCTCCAGCCCACCCTACTCCCTCAGGCAATCAGTGACCCATATAAAAACACCCTTGCAACAACACCAGTACCTGCACTAGAACATCTTCCAAAACTACTGAATGTCATCGGTGGGACTCCTGGTCTTCACACCAAATGAAGGCAGATAGAGTTGTTCTATTTGGGGGGTTTCATTGGGCAGTTCTTTTTCCTTCACCATGATTGGGTTATTAGTTCATAAACCAGGCAGTTGTTAATGAAAAGTGAAAGGCTACTTTGTGCGTAGCTTCTATATAATTGCAATGTATACTCAACGGGCATTCAGAAGATAAGTAATCAAGCTTATCAAGAAAACAAATAGGATATGGAGGAGAGTCAAAGGCTCCTCTTTAAAGAGGCTTCAGTGTGTGTGTGGGATTTGTACAGTAATATCTGACACTCAGAGTCCTATCACATGCCTTGGCTCGGTGTTGGGTGGCTGAGGCTGCTGGAAGACTGACTCCAGCAAAAATGAGGCATTACTCATCTGCCGGTGCGACTCCGACTCTTTAACGGGTGCAGACGAGCACAGAGTGCATCATCACTTCAGGGTCTGAAGGTCTATATGTAACTGCTTTATAATTTCATTGGTTTCAGATAATGACACCAGGGAGATCTGTTTAATTCAATAATCATCTTCTGAAAATTAAGAATGACCTGGGTCATCACCCCAAATTTACCCTTCTTTTTAAACCAAATCTTAAAAACGTTTTTTAAATGAATTAAACAGATAGGGCAATGGAAATGAATAAAAAACCTTATTCATTTTTCAGTCTCTTTCTGAAAATTCAGTTTGTCATATTGATTCATTTAAAGTCCATTTATTCATCATTCAACAAATTAATAATGAACTTTTAAAAATGTTGAATAAGGGTTAATTCATAACTGTGTTATGGAGTTTTCCTACAGATCATAATTCACACACTTATTCACTCATTTACTGATTCAACCAACATTTATTGGAAAGCTTCCAGGTTCTAGACCCATGAAAAGCACCAGGAATGCCAAATGCAATATGGACTATTAAAATCCTTCTGACAAAGATTGTAATCTCTTTGAAGGCAGAGATTTAGTGAAATTAAATACTCAAATATGATTATGCTCATACATGGATTATTATAATATAATATATGTGAGCCAAAGCTTCACCCTATGGATTTATTGAATACTCTAGGAGAGAAAATTCAACCTGAAACCATGACATTTGTGCCCAGATGTTCCCAGTGAATTATGCTACCCACATAGGATTAGTTTTGCATTGTCCTTTTTGATCATAGGACGTGCCTCATACAATCAGCCTGTGCTGTGGTATGCATATGCCATGTGTAACACATTTTTTGCTACTGACTACAATGATTGAAGTCAGATGTTATAAGCACTTGTTTAGCCAGTATTCTTAATAGTGTCGTAATGCTGGTGTTGAGAGACAAGGATCATACCCTTGTGGTACAGACCCCCCAGGCCTATCCTT